CATCAAGTGAAGCACTCTGAAGTGGAAGATTAAGGAACGAAAAGCGATCGGAAGTAATTTGAAACTCCTCCTACCCACCAATTCAAGATTTGAACACTCAAGCCAGCCGACAAGAGCTGTTAATTGACACTCAACACTGATCTAAATTGAAGAGGACTTACTGATTGGTTCCCCGTCTGTTTTATAACCTGGCCAACTTTGTGACCTGCTCACTTGGCCTGATGAAGCTTTTGTGTCAAAAGCGAAACGTTGTCCAAATAAAAACTACCGGTTGTTTATCAAGCTCTTCCGAAACGATACCTTGCGAAACCTTGCGCTGGCAAGATTACTACCCCACGCTGAGAACTGAATGAGCAGGGCTACCTTTTCTTTTTGCTTGTGCCTTCCAGGTGAACGGTAACCGCTAGACGACATGAACAAACCTGACCTTGAGCGCTTGGCTTAATTCCTCGATATGGCATATCAATCCACGAATCCGTGTTCAATCAAATTGAGAACATCAGACAAAGTTTCTTCAAAAAACCGTAAATTCATTCGGTAGCCAACTTTATGAATAATTTTGTGGCATGCTGTATCAAAGCTGATTCAGTGACGTTGAGAAATGTTGCTGACAGGTTTTTGCCGGCAGTGTTTCACCCAGCGAGCTCAACCTTTGGCAACTTGTCTGTTGATAAATTTTACGAATAGATCTGATATTAGCGTGACCCACACATCACAGTAGCAAATCACCGGTATATAAGTTAGCTAACGAAGTTACATTTTGGAATTTTCATAGGGGAGGTCGTTGAAATAGGCGGTTTTTTTTTTCGCGCCTCAGTGGTTTGCCAGAGTTTACATACGATTTGGCGGCATTTGGCGACTTTCCCCTTTGAAAGCTCCATAGGTTTGGCGAAATATATTTCATTTCGTCTGCAGTCATTGGCTACAGAGAACTGCTTATTTCAGTTTAAATATTCTATGCGCCTTTTGCCTTTGTTGGCCCAGTTCAGTGCCGAATGATGCTCTTTTGAAATATTCCAAACGCCGTCAGTGTACCATTGAAATGGCCCTTTTGAATGGTTCTCTAGCTTCCACAGCTGCAGCTCCTTTACTAATTCCGTGACAGATGCATTGAGAAACAACTAAAACTCCACCCCTAGCACATTCTTATCTACCTTGTATGACAACACTGCCACATTTTGCGGCTTAACTGCAAGCACCGACGACATTCCTCCTCCATTCTCAGATGTGGTGAATCGGATTTCCCTACTCTTTCCATCAATCTCCTAGAAACCTTCCAACCGTTTGACAATTCAAACCAGTTGAGGCGCTCCACAGCCATGACACATTATATCGGTTTCAAGGTAGCTATGGAGGTATGGATTTAGGGATAAAGCAGATAGCTGCGCGTTGGAAACGGCAGCCGGTATAATTGATGCTTCGATGCAGGGGCGTCGGTAAGCTCCATAGTTAGGTGACAAACTGCAGAGGCTGTACGCGGAAGTCAACAGTTTCGATATATGCTTGCATTGAGTGCGCATACTGGCCATTGTTTTATCCCGTTTGGATGTCCTTATCAAAAGAAGCAGCAATAACCAACGAAGATGAGTTTGCCGGTGGTGGTTTTATACATCACTGTTTAGTCACTATCTCACCTCCCCTCACCCATTTGCATTCTTCGTCGTTGCACAAAAGTGCTGTTTGAGGATTTAGGTCGACTGGCATATGGGCACATTGCCGTGTCAGGGCAACCTATGGAATGAGACCAGTTTATCCACAGTGGGCGCGTTATTTCTTCCAAAAACCGGAGACGGACTTCGGCACTAATGCTCCAATATTCACACAAAAGTCGGGCAATGTTGTTGAGACATTAAAAGTCAAACGCCGAAGGGTTTTGATGTCCCCAGCGCGCACTGGCCAGATTTCTGACCCATATAATAGTTTGAAATGCACGGCATTATTGTAAACTCGACCTTTGACGGATCAGTTGATGTTCCATCCACACTACAGGCAATACAGATTCATTAAACCTGCTCTAACTCTCATGGCCCAAGTAGAACAATCGCCTCTGGCCATACCACCAAGACCGACGCTAATGCTAAGGTAGACAAAGCTGTCCACTACCTCGATCGGGTGGCTTCACAAGTATGAGATTATGGTTCGGGCCTACCCGTTCTTCGAAAATTCGTGGGTGTGAAGCGCACGACAGGTCAAGATTAAGAACTATTCGGTTAACTTAATGTTGTTTACAGTACAGCGGGTAGAGATCAAAAAGGCCTATGTCATCCGCGCACTCGATAGCTAGGAGTTAATGCCCTGGTAGCATTGATGGCTGTGAAGAAGTCTCCACTACTCACATCAGTGACGCATTTGAAAAGGGAGGGTTAAAGGGGACACCTTCCCTGACAACACTCTATGTGTTCAATCCAGGCTAGAGCATTTGGTTAGCCTTCAAAGGTCTGCGGAAGCTCCGAGTGGGGCAAACTCCAGAAGCTCTTGACGGCCCAAAGAGTCAAAGGTTATTTGTATGTGTTCAATCCAGGCTAGAGCCTTTGGCTAGCCTTCAAAGGTCTGCGGGAGCTCCTAGTGGGGCAAACTCCAGAAGCACTTGACGGCCCAAAGAGTCAAAGGTTATTTTTACATTCAAAAAAGGACACCGGATTTTCTTGCTTGAATTTGCTCCGCCGTTTCAGCACTCGTTGAAGTCTGAAAAGGTGATCGATGCTCCCTCATTCTGACAAAAAGCGGGCTGCTTTTAGCGGCTCTGCTAAATCACAGGTTTGTCAAACTTCGAAATTGAGGTCACGGGGCATTTTCGGGGCCATGACTACTGGACTGAAATACATGGTTTGTGCATTGTTCGCGCCCTACTCCGGAAGACAAATATGGCCGCCATTTTCTGTTCGGCAGTCATTCTCGTCGCTCCGCACCCTGTTAGCAGAATTTTTCAAATTGACCTTCATTGGTTCTCCCTCTGGCTCCAGACCAGTCAGTCGTGGCGTCCTCGCATTTCCGTAAGGATATTTCCCATTTAATTTCTTTGGCTGGTGGGTGATTAAGGATTCCATTAAGGCGCATCCAGTGTCCTCAAGAACCGCGCTGCGAGAGGCCGACGAGGCCATTCTCAAACTATTTTGGTCACATTTCCAGCCAACGCTTTTAAGAACAAATTGTTGAGCCATCCATTCCACAAATTAGTTCACCGACTATTTCCCTTCTCTTGCCAGTTTCGCGTGCTGATCAGTGCACGGCATGGTTTTTCCCGACAGCAGAAGCCATTTTTATCTTCTGAAATTCTGATATCCACCGAAGCACTCGCGTCTTCCACCCCAGACTTCTGCAGGTAATCTGTGGAGTTCTCGGTGGATAGTGGATTGGTATGCCTCCCGCTGGTTTGTGAGGTCTTGGAAGAAGGCCACCCGCCTTCATATTCGATATTCATCGCCTCTATATTTTAGCAGCCACTTTCGAAAGTGATTTAAAAACGCGAGTTCACTAGGTTGCATCCACTGTTGGCTCCTAGGAAACAAAAATATCGGGAAAACAGACGCATTTCTTTCACTTCACGATGTGTGATTCCGTTTGCGGCGTCGTGGATATCCTTGGGAGTTGAAGACAACGGGATCGTCATCTAAGGTCATTTTTATTCTGAGCTGACATCCCACGCGGACAAGCTGGTAGCACTTGAGCCTACAGGCACGGTAGCGTCCAGATTTTACTCCAACTTGCACCCTATTGTTTCCTCTTGGTTTTTGAGTCCTGCCTATTGTGTCCGGAAACACTAGATCGTGACCTTGGTTCATATACCAACATTCCGCACCCATTTTGGGGGACAGCGTGGCTTATTTCCCTTCATCACAAATCTGATCACCAATACCAGTGTGAAACTGGTGGATTCAACAAACCTGGCATTGAGTGACGCTCCTTCTAGTCCCACACTCTTTGTAGTCCAGCGCAAAAAACTGATTCATACCAAACCGCTTCCCCGTTACTAATATGCTTGAATAAAGCAAGGGAATGTATGGCTTGTCTTTGCATCCCTGAAGGCTTTCTGCTAAGTTCACACCTCCCTCATACTCCATAACACTCCAACACTCAGGGGGCAGTGCTGCAATACATCGTATAATGTCCTGTACGCCTAAGTATTCCTAGCCTTGGTTGATATAAATTCCCCCCTAATCCATTCCACACAGGAAGTTGAGACGGTTTACCTGCACCCGCGTAGCATTCGCAGGAATTCTGGACCGTAGGCGTCATATCTTCTACCGGATAGCATCGCTGATGTCATTGGTAAACGAAGTTTCGCTGCTGCTGCAGATGGCATGAAACTGGTTTTCGAATGACGGGCATTGCTAACTTACTGGTATTACTGATTTTGTGCGTTGTAGAAATCACGGCTGGATGTGGGCTGGGAGATTAACAGAGAGCCTAGACCTAGAGAAGAGGACGATTATGGCGGTAGACCAAAGTATCTGACTCAAAATTTTCACCACAAGACGGTGGTGTTCCGCCGTGGAATGTCAGAGCATCCCACTTTGTAACAAACGGCCGCCACTTGTGTTCAAGCACATAACTCAATGGACCAGGAGATTGTGTTGGCTGAATCCGTAATTATCGATTGGCGTGGTATGTGCAACTTCAAGCATCATGCCAGAAACTTGCAGCAGATTTCAATGGGCCACGGTGGCACATGAATAGGGTCAAGTCTGTTCTCACCGGGGCCCGTTGTAAGCGCTGTGTCTGCCCGCCAACTTCCTCGTTCTAACAAAGCACGCCACATCTTCTCTGAGGTTCTTGTGCCATAAAAAGTTTGCTCACCTTGGGCATACTTTACGCGGGGGTCTACCTGGTGCGAACAAACGTAGCCTCCGTTAACTGCACTAATCACGGACTTCGGGCTACTTTTCTTAAGGCCAGGAGCACTAAATCACTAACACAATCCCAGAGTGTGTCAGCCTCATGCTTCCAGTCGCATTCCAAGCTAGCATAGCTGAAAAATCTCAACTTATTTAATGGTCTCCTTATTCAATGAGTAGAAGGCTGGGAGCCGGGAAACGAGCCCCAGTAGGACCACTTTTTTGCCGACTGGCAACCTTGTTGTCTCGAATGAAAACCCAGCCTATGACCTGCGCGGAAGCTCCTTCCGAAACTGCGGCGTCAACTTGTGCGGTGATGATGGAGGACGTAACCCTTCGCCAGAAGCTTTCAGGACAAGGACCCTTAAGGTACATGTTGGAAAGCGAAAACGGCTGTCGTTGAAGGGCCTGTCATGCTTATTGCTCCAAACCCTACTTCCTTGCCTCACCTTTCACGCAACCAGGCAGTCTCAGAATTCCGTTGTTATCTTGTTACTGATGGGAGGAAACTTATTGTGCAGCCGCGAACCAGTTTGTTCTACTGAACCCGGCGTTCTCAGGGAATGTTCTTTGTCCTTCAAATCCACCTTCATCCACATTCGGCCAAGAAACTTACGTTTCCTTTGGACAGGCGGTGAATCACGTCGTGCGCATGAATGGGACCAGCATAACCCGAGGAAAGGTCAACCAATAAGTTTCACATTTGTCCGCAATCTAATGGGAAAACCACTGCATCATGTTTCTGCACACTCAATAGCTCGTTGCATGATTTTATTCCTCAGCACCGTTCTTCAGCTGATCCAACCCACCTTCTTGCTGTCAGTTCCATTGCAGCTGATAAAAGGCCGTGGGTGAACTACATTTTTATGACCTATCTGAATCATTTGAGAAGTCCTTGTGTTAGCAAAGTTTAGATCGCCGTGAAAGCAATATCTTCTATACGTCGTTTAGTTCATTGATTTTATTCGCGCGCAATACGTTCTCCCCGCCGGGGGTCTGAGTAAAAATCTTCTTCTAAGTTCACGTCATACTGTGCAGCTTGCAGTCCTCATATGCCCATCCAAAATTATTCATTAACATAATAAAAAAGCTCTCCTGTGCTTGCTGGCTTGGCTTAACTCGCTTAAATGTAATAAGCTGCGGCATCCGCTCCCTTTACTGCATGCTCTCATACCATTCCAAGGGCTGGTCTCCATGACGAGTTCGGGGCTTTCATCGCAGCTCACCGCTTACCCACCACTCCAAGGCCTACGGATCTTGAAAATAAAGATCTGGGTGACAAGTTTCCTGCATCCGATTTCTCCGCATGAACAAGCGCGTAGTTGCTGACTCTCGGTTTTCTTTTTCAACGTCCTCCAGTACATCACTGGCATTCCCGACCCCCCGGCTAAGGCATGCTAAGTATCTCCTGGAAAACGTTAAGAGCAAAGCATTCACCGTGCCCCATTTGATTTTCCTGCACAAGATGTCCGTATTCAACTTCTTTCCTCACTGGAATAAGGTGATTCCTCGCGGGCTCGACCCCTTAATCTTTCGTTTCTCCCAGTCACGGAAACTCCTGCTCCAGCAGCCTTCGTAAGGATGACTCGAAATATTCCAATTAACGGTCCAATTTGTCCAGTTGTCCAATTTTGCCCGGGGTCACACAGGTATAAACATGCGGCTGAAAAATTCTTTTCATGCCTGGCTTCGCCGAATTTTTGTCTGTTCTTCGGAGCCAGCATTCCGATTAATACTGATTGCGATTTGCTTGGATGTATTTCAGTTGATGGGCAGATTCTCTGAGCCCATGAGTTCCATTGATGCGGGCATTTCATGCCGGCAACATAGGCCATTATTACACTTCTGCAAGGACAGAAACCTTCTCAAAGTCTGGCATCAAGCCTAGCTTTCGGTGAATTTGAATGTTCACACATCAACCGAAAGCCTCAAATTTCCTCCGCTTATGATTATCGTTCCAGTCCCTGCAAGATTTAAATAAAGCGCCAAACTTTCAGTGTGTTACATTGTTATTATCCGACAAAAATTCATCAAGCAGTTGAAGTATCCCGGACTCAGCTCACAGAGACCAGTGATGGTTGAAGGTCCATTCAGAAGAAAAATTGTTTTAAGTTGTTTTCGCACTAGCGGACCGTTCGGTTTTCTCGCGTGAAATGCAGTTGGTCGTCAGGTCGTTCGATACCCGTGTGGTTGACACAGAATGTTGCCAAACAGGTGCGGATTTGAAGATTTTTCTTGCAAAAGAGGACAATTTACCTTTGGATGGCATACAGTTGTACAGTGGCTCCTCCATCGTGCGAGACGATGATCACTTGAGTTCGCTCCTTGACGCCGCTGTTGATGTTGTTGTCCCCATCCTCGGAGGTGAGTTGGAAAACTAATCGAAACCATTGTTAATCAGGCAAGGTTCATGGTTCTTTGGCACGTGCTGGTAAAGTCCGAGGTCAGACACCAAAAGTTGACAAGCAGGAGAAGAAAAAGAAACCCCGGGGTCGTGCGAAACGGCGAATGCAGTACAACAAAAGGTTTGTGGCTGTTGTTCAAATGGTTGGTGGTCGTCGGCGCGGGCCAAACGCGAATGTCAAGGCCTAGTGACTTCAGTTCATCCTTTGTATTTCTAAATACATGCTGATTGCGAGGATGCCGCTTTCTAAATTTGGCGGAATGAACGGGCTGTAATATAACAAATGGTGGTGAAGTACTCCCTCGGGTTATATTCGTGATTTTTCCAAAAGTGTCATGAGTTCGCTCAGCTGCGTGCTTGCGTCGCTGTAGGGTGAATTTTTCAAGGAATCCTATCCGACAGCATAGTTTTGAAAAATAATGGGTTTAGCTGAAACTGGTTATCATTCGATCTTCCCCGGCATCGGATGTTTATATGACTGCTGTCTGTCTAGCCTCGAATGCATCACCCAAGTGGGTCCGGGTCCCATTGCTCCTCAATCAGATGAGCTGACGTTTCCGAAGTGGCTGATTGACAATCGGGAACTGCGTCCTGCGCCTGTCTGCGAGAGTAAAAATGTTATAGGCTTGAGGTTATGTTGAACGAATTTGGACCGAGTGATGTGCGCCGGGCTAGCGTTCCTCGTCGAAAGTCGATTGCGGGATGTGCTGCTACCGTAATGCAAGTCAGTGTTTTTCGAGCTTTTCTGGTGGGCTTGGCTAGAATTATTTCAACGGGCTTATATACATTGTTGGTTAGCGACATGACGGGGCTTGCGAGTGGATCTCATTCGGCCTTGCGTGAAATCATACAGCTAGACATAACTCGGTGTTTAAGGCGCGAACTGACTGGTCGGTATGTCTGTCGCTCGAACCCTAATTGTGCATCCTGTCTGGTGTCGGGCGGCGTGACAGTATCTCACTCAGTGCTTCCTTTAGTGGCGTGCCATCTGGTCACTGAAAAGTTGTTGCAACTGGAATGTTCTCATCTCAGAACCACAGAATGAAAGCAATGGAGATGACAGCGAACTGCGTAAGCTGACCACTCGCGCTACTTGGAGTTATGGCACGAAAATTTAAGGTGAACACTCCACTAGTTTGCGATGATATTCGTTCATTGGTAACATCAGCTGCTATGCTACCCGAAGAAAGCACGAGGCGCGAGATACTGCCAGGTTGTCCAAGCCCCGATAGAAGCCATAGAAGTGCGAAGGATTGACTCTAATCATGTCTTCCAGGATCACGTGAGGTTTGCGAATCGCTTAACATCTGGGAGATGTGTAAATCCGGATGTTAGACGAATTCGCCAGACTCGTCTTCTGTGTTCACTTCTGACGGCTCTGCCATCGACAGTAAATCCTTACTGGGATGTGATCGCCACCTCTTTGCACAGTGGTGACAGTTTTCCCTGTGACACGTTCTTACCAGGCCCAATATCGACACCGGTTAGGTCTCGGAGAAATGCCCCGACGAATTGTCTGACGTGAAGTGAGAGTCAGTGTGCGCGCTCACCGTAGGTTCTGGTGGGCGCGGACACCTAATAATTGACAAAGGCACAGCAGCTGGGAATGCCTGGAAGCTATTTCAGTTGGTCCGTGCGACCGGTCCCCAGAAACCACCTGTGCGCTAGACAATTAAGGGTCAGAAGAGAGCAGCCAACCAACCTCGACCATTGAGTCAAATCCTTCGAACAACACTTATTGTGGTGACCAATCGGGAGCCCTATACGGTGAACGTGGAACCTCGTACGGTCTTGAGGATTTATGACTGCAGTTGTTCTCTCAAGCACCACCGAACTTCTGTTATGGATGAACCACTCGAATTGTTCACAGTCCTCAGTCAACGCTTGTATTTTGGAACAGGAGAGTGCCCGGGACAATTGCAGTAACCAGAGGGGAATCAGTCTTACCCCGGTCGTAGCGACAATCTTGACGTCAGTTGTGGTTCATCGCCTTATGGTGGCTCGTGAACCTGATTCGAGAACAGCAAGCAGGATTTCGGCCTGGTAGGGGTCATGTTGACCCCTCCTGCACACTCCTTCTGGTGCCAGAACAACGCCAAGGCGCAATCTACTCGGTTGATTGATCTGTTCTTGTTAGTGATGAACGCCATAATGTAATTCAGAAGTTATATGCACTAATAATAACAGTGTTATGTTCGACGGGAGATGGAGTGTAATGACAATCATACAACAGATAGTTGTTACAGTAGTTTGCAGTGGCGAGTTGCACCATGTATAAATGGAGTGCGAGAAGTGGAGTAAGTGAAAAGAAGAATTTACCGTCTGTGAGAGTTCCTATTTGACAGTCTGGACGGGGGAACATGTTTTCTTCGCAGTATGGCTGCTATACATGTTCCGTAATTGCCCGTAGTTAACTTGTTGCCCCCGGGCGCGCGTGTGTGGTGACTATGTTGTCTCCTTCATTTAGGAAAGCCTGACGAATGTATAGTGCATACATACATAGTGCGTACAAGACGGAAATTCACTTGTTGACCTAGGTTGCTAGCGGGACAGGGTTTCGTCACGTGGTTTGTCCGTCTGCGGAACAAAGGAGTCGCGTGGTTTAGTGAGCGCGAGGTTGGTTGAAGTAACAAGGAAGGGACCATTACATTCACCTTGACACGTTTGCCATCAAGGGACTCCTCGGAAGTTCGGACTCTGAAACTTCCGCGCGTGTGAGAATATACGGAGAGCTCTCCAAAAGCTTCCGTATATTAAGTAGCGTCCGTCAGGGATGTCACCCTATTCCTATTTCTTTATCGATGAGATAATGGGGCGAACGCTGAAAGATCCTCAGTCTGTGGTGAAAACCTCGTGGATCTGGGTTATGCAGACGATGTCGTTCTCGTCTTCGAAGAGGTGGAGAAGCCGTAGGTGTTTTTGGTTGAACTGACCAAATCCCGTCCATTGGTTTGCACGCACAAAGTGTTGGGTCATGCTCCTGGACATGCAGTCACTGGCAACGCACTCAAAACCGTGAAGCGTTCTGTGTATATTGGAAGTCGTATTAGTTCTAATTGTAGTGTGACAGAAGAGTTCAATGCACGAACCTGCAAGGCCGAGGTCGCGTTCGTTACTTTGAAACACTTATGGCGTCAAAGCGGTATATCTCTGAGTCTCTAGGGACGTGTGTGTCAGGCTACACTGCGGGCTGTTTTGTTGTATGGCTGTGAGAATCAGTTCGTTTGAGCAGTGGAACTAAGACGTTTTCGACAATCGTTTTAGGACCATAGATCGTGTTGGTGGCGGCGAATCCGTAGCGAGGTAATGGGGAATTCCGTTGAAGATTGTATCCTGCACCAGGAGCTGCGTTGGTTAGGATATGTATTTCGTATGTCGAACCATCATTTGTCGAAGAGAGTGTCGTTTTCCGAGCCCAATTCGATGTGGCGGAAGCAGAGAGGCGGTCACCCCTTGACCTGGCAGAGGGATATGACGTTTGGGTGCTGCCGGTGCTAATCGCCTTCCAACATAGGGACCGTGTGATCCCCACTGCCTGGTTAGAGACGCTTCGAGATATGGCTGTTCATCTATGTCAGTGGCATTGTCAGTTTCTATTCAGATTGCTGGAATGAGTATCCGGAGGTGCACGCGCCTCAGAATGATTGTGGTAACCTGGCGCTAAGTCGTTTCCTCGTTGAATTTGATTATTTTCTTAACAATAAATCTTTCAAGTAAATCATAACTGTACGGCAGCGAAGCATTAGGGTTGAACACTGATGCCACGCTATGGATAATGGTGCTGAACCACGTACCTTCCGATCACCAAATCCACACTTTAACTTCTGCCATCTTAAACCGAGTTGGCATAGTGCATACAGAACTCTTCCGGTACTCAAGAGGTTACGGGTTCGATCCCCAGGTGACAAGTTCGCATTATATTCAGTAATTGGCCGCGTATTATCTACATTGTTGTGCTATGCGAGGATCCCATTGGTAGAATCCTGACCGAAACCATTTGATCAAAACAAAGGAAATAAGAGGGATAAGTGTTTGATAAAGGTCGATAGGAAACAGCCTGGCGTGTTTGCAATGTTGGCAAGCATCCAAGAACAAATGGATGTTGCCATTGGTGTAGAGTGTTGGGACTTCGCCAACGGCAAATTGTAGGCTCCCCTAACGTTAGTCTCCAACGGGTGTGTGGTGTTGAATGATCCTGATTAGAAAACCCGATGCACCTTATGGGCAAAGCAATGTGACTTTTTGTGGGGATCGATCAGTGATCGCTGCAGGACAGAAAAGGAATTTTAGGTAAAAGTAATTATTCTTGTTTGTAAGTTACTGTGCTTGCCTCAGAGTTTCATGCGTTCCGCTGACGGGACCGTTTCCCTGTCTCAGAATGGTGCAAACTTCCAGCTGGGCAGTCTAAGCGAACGCTAGCCACCGCTGCCTTTCATTTTGGTTCTTGAGTGAAAGGCCTTGGTTGAGGACCCTAATCGTCACACCGTTTTTGTTCGGATGTCCCGATGGTATCTGAGCCCGCATAGGACAAAGGGATACAAACAAACACACATCACATTGGTCATAGTGATGACTTTAGTCCTCAGCTATTTCGCACCATACAGCAGGACCGATAAGCGTAAGTACGCAACTGCCAACGCATCCCAGGTTCCTTCAGTATTCTTTCTTAACAACACCTATTTCGCTCGATGACCATTCTTCCGTAAAGTCGAGTTGCAGGAAAATCACTCAAACACCTGGCTGGCGGCGATTTGCACACCGTCAATTACATCTACCTTCCCCTGTTTTCGAATTCTCAAGAAAACTGGTCAACAAGTTACTGACCCGCGCATTCCTGGTGGGAACATGAGACCACTGGTACGCAAGTACTCCAAGTAGTCTTCGGGAAAACCCACTTCCCACCGATAGATCGGTTAGTCACATTCCACGTGCATCTTGTGCCGAAGGACTATTTGCCATATAGAGCCCTCGTTGCCCACTCGAGACGACCGAGAGGCGGTCAGTGCATGATTTAGCAACTGAGTCGCGTTCGTAACTGCCGTCTTCCCGGATGGGGACGGCGAGACGAGACAAACCCCTCACAGATGTGGCATCAAGGTTATCACCTTCAATGCGTAGCTCTTACCTCAAGCCGTAGTGGACAAAGAGCTCCGTTTGTCAAATCACGCACAGATTAGGTTATCGCCTCCAAACGCGTGGCTCTTATTATTTTTATCTTCAGTGGACGAAGCTGCAACAGTTGAAACCACTGCACCGCGATGCACGGGGTTATGAGCTGAAAAACCGCTATTTGGACGGCTTCGGCTGCAAGATACATGAAAATCTTTTCAGCCACCGCAGCTATTCTCATTCGGATGGGTTTCGGCTCCTGAACTGGGGCTGTGTTGCTTGATTCGAAATCGTAGACAACCTTCTCTGTACCCTTCGCCTGTCCGCATTCATAGGAACTCGGACTGTGCCAAATACCAGCGGATCTTTGTTTATGTTAAGCATATGCATCAGCCAACGGTAGCAATGCTTCCGTGAGATGAACACCGCCTTATCTACTATGGAGAGTTCACAGCGGATTTCGTTGCGAGGAACGCTTTGGTGGTAGGTTTAGTTCTGTACTGATCACTGATTGTTCCTCGCCGGTGATGGATCTATGCGGAGTGGGTTCAGTTATGCTGCTTGGCGTTCCCTATTGCTGTGCGACCTTGGAGAGAAATCGGTCACGTATGAGTT